GTATATCCTTTTAGAAAGTTCCGTGTGGCCTGTTTTGGTAATCATTAGTTTTGCCTTCAATATTTTTAAATTGTACTATTTTAAAACTACATTAATATATTTTTTTGGTTATTTAACAACTAAATGAAATAGATGTGAGCAAAATCTTCAGTTCACACACATACACACACACACACCCCTTTTCTCCCTCTGTTTGCATGGACTGAATAACTGCTGTTCCACTGAGCCACATCGCCAAAGATAATTCTTAAAACCAAAGATTTGGATGAGTTTTCCCTACACTATTTTGGCCTGAAATGAGTAGAATATGGAGATACTAAGCAGTAGTTTGTTGGGTTTTGTGTGGGTGTGTATGTGTGTACAATAGAAAGTGAAAGAAACCATTACCACTTCAGATTTATGAATTTAAAAAATATAAACTCAAGCTCTAACACAGTGGTTCTTAACCTGTGGGTAGCCACCCCTCAAGGGTCATAACAACCCGTTACAGTGATCACCTATCAGATATCCTACATATCAGATATTTACATTACAACTCCTAACGGCAGCAAAATTACAATTGTGAAGTATCAGTTGTACAGTTGGGGGTCACCACAACATGAGGAACTGTATTAAAAGGTCGCAGCATTAGGGAGGTTGAGAACCTCTACTCTAACACATCTGGAGCACTAGAGTCAACAAAGCTAGGTCACAAGTCTTCATTGCCCTAAAGAAGTCTAGGACAGAGGATTGGCGTCAACTTCCTGAGGAACTACACACTCATTTCAATATGCTTTAGTTCCTACAGATTTCCTAGGCTATGGTACAGGATGCGCATTCAAGTGTTAAAATAGCCATCCCTACAAAGACCTACTGACAAGGTTGGGCTGGGCTTCTGCTTGAGAACTCCAAAGGTAAGTTGTGCAAAACTTCCCATTCTAGCTTTTACAATAGCAGCTCATCTCTGGAGTGGGGGGGGGGAGGGGGCACAGAAAGATTTTAAGAGCCAGAATATGAGGAAGTCTGCTGTGAAAGTCTCTCCTAGAAACAGCTGCATAAGCAGGACGATGGCTACGTCAATAGACACATTAACGTGGAAGGTGAAATGTTTGCAGGGTCCCGCCCCTAGACATAGAACTACAGGCAGCTTATGACGGCTTCTCGAAGGAGAATTCGCCTCTCCCAGGAATGAGCTTCCTTATTAGTTGTCCAGTGCAGAGTAATCAGCCTTGAAACCATATACATACACCACCAACAAAAACAGACTCAGTGATTGTATTTACATATATTTGTGCACATATATACAGACATACCCGGATATGTAACAATAATATTAAAGGAAAAATAGGCTATCAGCTTGAGAGTGGGGACATATATAAGAGGGGTTCCAGGAAAGGTAGCAGGGAGTAAAGGGGGGAAGCTGATAGAATTCAATTTTAATTAAAATATAAATAAATAAATAAATAAAACTCTCTGCAATGGTAAAAGTGGTTTTCTGGGCCTGGTCTATGCAACCGACTGGGCTTGAATTCTTGCTCTCCTTCCAAGAGCCTGGAATCCTGCTGCTGCTGGGCAGGGTGAACAGCACACAGCAGCCATGACACTCTTGGTTCCTCAGTCTCTGATGGGTTTCCTAGTCGGCAGCACACTGCTCATTACCCGGGGATTGTGTTCTGGCCTATATTAGATGACTCCTTGAAAACTGTATCTGAGGCCTGAGATGTCAGCCTTAGGTCTTCTCCGTTCTCCACTTACTCTGTATTCTTGGGTTTCCTGAGCCAAAGAAACTGGGGGGGGGGGGGGTCTTGGGGCTCCCCAGTACACAGAGTTTCCCTGGTCTAAGATCCTGACTTAGCAGTTGACTTTTTTCTCTCCTGCAGACCATGTGGGTGAACTTTTCCTCTTTTGTTTTACCTTAAAATTAGCAATCCTAACAACCTGTCACTTAACCAGGAATCCTTAATTAAGAATGATTTTCCCAGCAGATTTGACTTTAAAATAGATCAAGCTATCCAGAAGTCTCCATTTGTCATCTTAGTTGACTAAGGTTGTGCTCAGCAGTTCCAGTTCTTGTCATGACACAACATTGTCCCTCATTTGGCCTTTGGAAAGAGACTCCCCTGCACCCCAAGCAAGGATTCCTGGTGACACAAGGCTCTCAGGCCCTGATTCTCCCGCCAATGTGTCTCCTAACAAGGCACGTCTGTTTCTTCAGTGTTACTGTGAGACTCCATCCTGGTCATGGAAGGCACACGGTCTCAATGTGACATGAACCCCTAGCTAGACCAAAATTAGCATGAAAAGCTCAAGATTAGGTGCCCAAGACTGGTATGAAGGAAGAAAGAGGAAGAGAATTACATCTTTCCTCAGGTCAGGAAAGGGTAGGTCTGTCTAACCCAGCTAGCCGCATAGACGATGTACCTGTTACAGCTGCCTCAGAATTCAACAGGCAAAAGTCAACAGGATCATAGCTTCCAGAACTGAGGGAAAACTAGTAAAGTTATAGTAAAGTTACAGTGTACCTTTTAGAGGCCAAGTAGGTGGTAGACAGGTAAAGAGCAGACAGACAGATAGATAGATAGATAGATAGATAGATAGATAGATAGATAGATAGATAGATAGATAGATAATGAAAGAAAGAGAGAGAGAGAAGGAGGGAGGGAGAGAGGGAGAGAGGAAGGAAGGAAGGAAGGAAGGAAGGAAGGAAGGAAGGAAGGGAGGGAGGGAGGGAGGAAGGAAGGAAGGAAGGAAGGAAGGAAGGAAGGAAGGAGATAGTCATACTATAATGGTCTCTGGTTTTGATTTTTTTCAATTTTTTTATTCTATAATTATTTTGGGGATCTAGATTTTGAAATTGACCATCTAACTTAAGAAAAAAAATTCTTAAAATTTTTGAGCACAGTAAACCTCAGTAAGAGTTCTGGAGTGGACCAAAGGTGTGTTTTCAACTTGTTTAGACTAGGACAGGATGACAGACATCTTGCCATAGCTCACTCTTAAGTCCTAGTATCAGCTGCTTGGGAACTGGCGTCCAGCCCCAGCATTCTCTCCTGCGTGCACCTGCTGAAGCCCCGCCCTAGATCCTTTAGAAGAGGAGGAATACAAAGACACATGCTTGCTGGATAATCTCCATTCTCCTCAGTTCCGGAGGTTTAGCATACATGCTTCAAGCTGTAGTTATTACTAGGTTTTACTTGCTTCGGGGTTTGTAGCCATTTTTACAGTTATTAACAGGTCTCTGTCCCCATCTAGCTAACTGCTAAAACATGTTTTGGTCAACTTGTTTAAAACTCAAGGAGAAATAGCTAATGGTAATGTCACCTGCCTTGATATTAGTGATATGTAAGCTGAAACAAAGCATGGGTGTGAAAATGTCCCTCCAAAAGATACGTATTTTGCATTAAATACCATTCTACTTGCCAAAAGAAAAAAAAAGTTTTAAATTCTCTGGAAAAGCTATTTTTCTCCTTCTTGATCTGATTATCATAATTCAATCCATAGAGGAGGACCCAGGTGGGAATACATTAACATTTCAATTCAGTTCAAAATAACTTAATACATTATTTTCCACTTTGCCTGGTATGTCGTGGTTGCTGCCCTCTATATTCAATCCCTTTGTAAATAAAGTAGTTCAATCTTATGAAATTCTTTCTGTAATTATAATTACTCCTATTTAATCTTCAGGAAAGACACCCAGTGACCAAATTCTTGCTTTACTATGCACCAGGAAGAGGACTACAAGGCCCTTGTAGCACTAGGGAGCTCAGTCGGATTCATGAACCAACTGACTCATAGAGAAACATTTCACATAGAGATGGCTGAACATGTGACCAAAGAAAGTATGCACATAAGAACAGTCTTCAATATATCATGTGCCGGAAGGTGGCAGCACACACCTTTAGTCCCAGCACTCGGGAGGCAGAGGCAGGCAGATCTCTGAGTTGAGGCCAGCCTGAACTGTAGAGTGAGTTCAAGGATAGCCAGGGCTACATAAAGAAAACCTGTCTTGAAAAGAAAAAGGAATGTGTGTGTGTGTGTGTGTGTGTGTGTGTGTGTGTGTGTGTGTGTGTGTGTGTGTGTTTTCTTGGTAAATCTATATTCCTGCTATATTTGAGTCATGGATTAAAAACATAAATAACTGGTCAGCCTTTCGAGATGTGTTTTAAGACTGACAAATCATTCTGCATTCAAGGATAACAATGCCACATAAATGCAATAACCAGTGGGTAAAGAGTTTGTTGAGGTGAACTAGGTCCATTCATTTTAACCTCCTTTTCCACAGTAATTCAGGCTGTACCAACGATTTTTCTGTTCTTTGAAACAGGTCCATGGATTCATTTTTTAAAAAATCTATAAGAGGCCATCCCCTGATAACCTTTGACCTCAGCTGTTTCGTTCCGTGTGAGAATGAGCTAACTGTAAATTCCCAACTCTAGACATAAGCTGGGGTTGTAGTGCAGTTAAAGAGTTTGCCTAGCATGAAATCTGGGGCTCTATCTCCAGCACTAGGAAGAGGAAAAAACAAAAACAACAACAACAACAATAAAAAAAGACATAAAACCCCCTTCCCATCCACAGAAAAGGGTTTCCCTGTGCTTTCTGGAAAAGGGCAGGATGGGGTTACCATAATAGCTCATCTGACTTAGTTCTGTAATTTTTCCTCTAAGAAAAATGTTCATTCTTCTTCAAAAGGAACTAACGTCCAGCATGCTGGGCAAGCATCATCTATAAATGCAAATGACATAGCAGGACCATAGCCTTGGGTCCTTAATGGTATTTTATTCACAGAAAGGAAACTCAGAGCCATAAAGAGAGAGAAGAGAAACCCAGTATTCACTGATGTTTGTGAGACTCGAAGTACAAAGTTGCTCTGAGCGTGTGGCCTTGTGCATAAGGAGCAGCATAAGGAGATCAATACAAGATCAGCTGAAAATCAAAAATTCTGAGCTCCAGGAAGCCAAAGACAGCCAACCACATGGAGTCACCAACAACTCAAAATCCAAATGACAAATGTCCAGGAGTAAATTGCATAAAACTTTTATTTATTAGCAGTGTATTCTTCTACACTTCAAAATAGAACAAAATATCTTCTGGAAGATAGACTATTCATAACAAAATACATGGCAAACAATTTTTATTATAAGTGGAGAATCTCTCTGCTATATAATCTCTATATTATATACATCCCCTTCTTGGTGTGCCTTATGCATGTACACGTGTATAAATAAGCTTAAGACATACACATGTAGATACATAGGACGTACATACACACAGAATTGTGGAAAATTTACAGTAGTCAACTTTACAATCATTTTAGTAGCTGCACTCATTAGTGTTCATAGAACAACTAAAAATGATAATATGGTTCTCTTCCCCCACATCTCAAATGTTGCCTCGGTTACTTTTCAATGATAATTTGAAAGAAATAGTATTCTCTCTATATACAATGAACCAACTTTTTAGAATAATAACTCATAGTAAAATATTTTACTTTTCAACTTTAGAAAAGATATACAATTTAATTCCTCTTTATGTTTTCTAAACACACATAATTCAACTTTCCATCAGGTGAGTGCAATTATTTGGTACTGCAGTTATGGGAAATTATACTAACACACCTGAGTCAAACATTCATTCCAATGCCTTTTCAAAAGTGTAAAACGTGAACAAGGTGTCTTACTGAAGCATATATACTAGTCTGAAGATACCGCCTCCTAATAAATACATTATAAATAACTCAACAGTTGGAATAAAGCACTTTGCATGAATCAATTTAACTAGCCTTTGCCCATTCTCAAGCAGCCTGGAAGAGAATCGGTACCTAAGACTCTCTTATCTCATATGGACAAGAAGCCAATTGGCTGCTGGAAACATATACAGAATCACACTTACATGAAAGGGCTGAACATACCCTTGAGGGCCCTTTCTCTCTGACATCAGTTCTAGACAGACCCGTGTGTACATCTGGGGGAGGTGCTCCATTAAAATATCTCCTTTAGTGTACAGATCTACTTAGCAGCATTTTCTTCGGCTTATTCCTTCATTGCTTTGAAAATGACATCAGACCATGCATGCTTACAAGGCAATGACCACCTCGTACCCAAAGCAGAATGTTCTGAGTTATTAACTCTTTTGAAGTGCTGTTTTTTGTTTGTTTGTTTTTTGGTCTTTAACAGCATTATTGACCATTTACTGAGAGTGTTCTTACAAACCGTCGACATGATTCTTAAAATCCGTATCCTTCCTTTGCCTATTTACAAGAAGGTATAAGCAAAATAGATGGTTTAAGGCATTTTTTTTTAAAGCACTCATGAGAGGAGGAAAGAAATAAAAGCATTTGGAATGTTCTGTCATTTCACAGAGGAAAAAAAAGTCATGCTTTCAGGAGAGACAGCGATTTCTGATACTAAAGAGATGCTAAAGTTTTTTCTTTTTTTTTAAGCCTCCTACTCAAAAGGTTCAAGCAGAGAAACAAAGGGAAGGTTTTTTTCCTAAATAAACCCTCTCAACATCCCCACTCTTGGTCGAGATGAATTTGGATGAACTCCAGTTCAGGCAGACTTCAGCAGAGGATGCTCTGATCTATTGGACTCATGGGGGAGCACCAAAAATCACTTTCTAGACATGTGCTCCCTCACTTTCACTTAATAAGGAAGAATTATTTACTCTTTGTAGACAAAACCATACTAAAGCTAAACAAATTTAAAATACAAATTTTTGGTAGCAAACAGCAGGAAAGTCTAAATCAAAATATAGTCTAGCTTTTACATAATCTGATGTACTTATAAAATTATCAAAATAGTCTTTTATAAAGTTCATGATACATATATAATGTAACACTGTACATGTAAATGCAGTAACAAATGCATTACCGAAACACATTAAAAATAACCTTTTAAAATACCAAATTCAACATTAAAACTGTCTTTACAGGTGTGGACACCTCCATAAACAGCATTACAGTGCATTGTAGTAGTCGTTAGCCAGTGCTCTGGTCTCAAGTCTCTCAACGGTGCTATGTCTAACACTCTTTAAGGTAAGAAGACAGAGACATCCTCCGGGCAAGCAGCCGTTCCCCTCCACACTGCACGTCCCGATGTCTCAGAATGGAACCGCCTTCACTGGTGTGGCAAGGCCTTAGTAATGAACATATTCAGACTGAAGGGACTGTGTAAGGAGAGACATAAGCCGAGGTTAAATTCCATCACACATAAAGCTGCAAAAACGTCATACAGCCTCCGCCTTCAACACAAGGCAGTTCAGGTCTGTTATATAAAAGACACATGAAATGAACCAAGGAAGCAAAGGGGAAGGGAGAGAACGCTTTTACAAAGAAAGCAAGACACTGGGTTAGGTAAAGTGATTGTTAGAAAATCTTTTCATTTCAAAAGACTTAATAATGTTTAATTGTGACTACAACCAAGTAATAATTGAAAGTAAAGGTATGCCATCAATTTGATTCTTGAGCCTTAGAGTAGAAATATTGACTCCTACTCAAAAGTATTAAATGATAGTTATAACTAATTGAGAGCTGTTAGAACAAACTTTGGATTTTTTTTAACTTAATACACATAAGTGGCATGTAAACGTTTATCAAACAGAATTAGCGGCCACTTAAATACAGTCCTTACAAATGCTTGAGTTTAATAAAACCTTATAAATCTTTTCCATTACGGGAACAGAAAGTACAAACTAGTTCTGGACTCTGATCTGAGGACTCAAAGGCACGGAGAGCACAAGGGTCCTGTAACGACTTCACAGCAGGTAAGCGCCGGTGACAATACACATCCTTGCACATCGACTTGGACACCGATAGAAGAGGAGCGTGAGGGGCGTGCATCAGAGTGCCAGGACAGCAGACACAAACCCCGAGAGGAGCGAAAGCAGCGGGAAGCTCAGCAGAGCTGTTTTTGAGCAGCACATAGTGGTTAGCTACACAGAGGATCCAGACAATTCTAAGCATTAACAGCCCTTTTTGTGGTTCCCCTCCTCAAATACCCAGAACGACAACGATGACTTGGTGGTTCTCCACAAGACACTTTCTTTTCTCACAATAATTTTTCAAAATGATCTGCAGCGTTTTGTTAACAGGATGTATTTTATCAATAGATCACACTGATTTCAAGACTGGTCCAGTTTGGTGATGACATAGCTATTAGTCTCTCTCTGTCTCTCTCTGTCTCTCTCTGTCTCTCTCTGTCTCTGTCTCTCTGTCTCTCTCTCTCTCTCTGTCTCTCTCTCTCTCTGTCTCTCTCTCTCTGTCTCTCTCTCTCTCTCTCTCTCTCTCTCTCTCTCTCTCACACACACACACACACACACACACACACACACACAGTCACTTACTTTCCAAAGAACTTAGGAAAACACAAAACCAACTGTTCAGCTTCCAAGTCCCAGGAAACTTTACTCTGTATCAATAGCCATTTACTAAACATTTTTAACCCAAGTTAGCAGTTACGGTCCTTATTCACAAAAGGCAAAACCCACTGTCATAACACAGGAAATAAAGGTGGGAATATTTACTTAGTTAGATAGCAATGTGCACAGTGTAAAATTGACATTGTGTACTGTAGCAAAGGACAGGAGGAAGAGAAAAAGGGGCGGTTCTCTGGGCTAAAAGAGGCTCAATGGTCAAGAAAAAGGAAAAAGGGAAAAGGGTTTTCTCAGGTTAACTTCCTTGATCTGGATACAGTTTATAGCCAAGCTTCAAAAGAGCGGGGAGATGATAAGAACTACGCACCAGAATGTAAGTAGAGGGAATGTCCTGTGGGGCAGGCTAATGCTATCAAACCTGCGTGTTTTCAGATTGTGGGACAGCAGCTGCTGTATTAGTAATCACTGCCCTAGCCGCTTTCCCCGGCGTCTCCTGAAGTCTGGAAATGAGTCAGAGGCACAGCCAGTGAAGTGTCTCCCTGGCAGCAAGGTCACCCCACACCTGCACATTACAGACACTGTGCCTGTTCTGGGATGTTCAACTTGTGCTTTTGCTCCAATTAGAAAAGTTGCAAATGGCCGGGCGGCGGTGGTACACACCTTTAATCCCAGCACTTGGGAGGCAGAAGCAGGCGGATCTCTGTGAGTTCGAGGCCAGCCTGGTCTACAGAGCGAGATCCAGGACAGGCGCAAAGCTACACAGAGAAACCCTGTCTCGAAAAACCAAAAAAAGAAAGAAAGAAAGAAAAGAAAAGTTGCAAATGCTCTCACTAACAGAAACTAGAAACTCCTTACACAGCTTGCAAATTCACAGCACAGTTGTGTCTGCAAGCATCTCTTCGGGCCTCAGGGCTTCGTCAGTCGCCAATCAGTGCAGAATACAGCAAAGAGCAGTCAGGTGACTAAGACTTCCCTTAGACAGCAGTGTATGCCGTGAACCCAGGTGTGTGTTCATAGTTTTAATTTCCTAACTCCCTGATCTGGAAAACGGAACTGGTTTAGAATCCCTCAGGTTTCTGTTGCTCACACGAGGTATGTATTCACTGGTCTCCCGACTAAAGCTTTTGCTTTTTGCCTTGCAAAGTCCACAAACCCTGCGATTTGGTCCAGCTTCAAATACAGTCTGCACAGTCCCTTCTGCCTCGTGTTTTCCACACCCAGCTTGCTCTCTCACAGTGCTGAAATGGCTCTGCACATCTTTGCAAACAAATTTGGCCAAAGCAGGCCCTTTTGTCCTGCCAGGTCACTTGTTTGACAAACAATTATAGATGTATCAGGCAGCGTGGGATGAAAATGCAATACTAAGGTTCGAGGAACAAATCATACCCCATGGTTTCTTTCTTCATAGGGCACAAGGAAAGTTATAAAATAAAATAAAATAAAATAAAATATCAGTAAAAATGTGTTTAGCATATTATTGCAACTTCAGTATTTTGTAAGAAATTAACTTCCTTTTATTCTCAATGTAAAAATAAAACTCTTGAATGAAAAAGATTAAAGGGGAAAGAGAAACACCAGCGTCTACAAGATCTGCTGACTTCAAGAAACCACAACTAACACTTTCAAGGCCTTTTATCTGGGGGAGGGACAGTGTAGGGTGACAGAAACAATGGATTCCAAAGCACTGCATGCCTGCAGAATGAGCTTAGGTTCATGGGCCTGTGCTCAGCTGGGAAGACCTTGAAGAAAAGCGTCCTGTACGCTACATGTGGTATCTCAGCACAGACGATGCATGCCCACGCCTCCTTAGCTGACAGGTTAACTGGATGCACACCATAAGGAATCATGACTTCAGGCTTCTTGCACAGACACCGACAGGACTCCCAACTGTACAGAATGTCTTCTAACTGTCTATATGTCACAGAAGTACAACCCAAACTCCAAAGGCTTCGAACTCTAAAATGAGCAGACATAAACAAACACTGAACAGTGACCTCATATGATGGGTACAGTCAACACACAGGCACAAACAACAAACGACAACAAAAGTGCACTACACTACACTACACTACAGCCACAGAATGTATAGCAAACATAATCCGGTTATATCTAGACCCCATTCCGTGTGTGTATATGTGTGTGTGTGTGTGTGTGTGTGTGTGTGTGTGTGTGTATACATATGTATGTAAATAAAATTCAAAATCATTTCAGATGAGTGGTGTTCAACCAGTACTAATGTAACAAAGATAGCAACCAAGTTACTAGATTTTTAATTTTTATAATAAAAATGTGCTTTGTATTTGAAAAACACTATCATTGCTACCATTAACTTTATTAAACCAGATGAAATAGAAACTATTTGGAGTTCTTAATAAATGAGATACATTACTTGCAGGTCATCTATTCTGAGAGACTGAATACTTTTCTGGGTGTCGGACACAGTTTAGATATCTTTTATGAATCTACTCATTACATCCTTCCCATTTCACAGACGAGGAAATTGGGGCACATAGCAGTGAAGTTATTTGCCCCAGATCACTCACTAGTCTGAAGCCTGGAAGCCCAGCAAACATTTATCCTGTCATCACTACCTACCCCGTGTAATGGGCTCTTCCACCCCGATGAGAAGCAAGTTACATAAATTACAAACAGATACCATATGTGTTACATCAAAGGAGATAGTATAGTTTAAAGTTATGTTTCCTCAGAACTGAGTAAAAACAAATCATTCTAAGAACATTCACATGGCCAGATGTGGTGGCCCACACCTTTAATCTCAGCATTAGGGAGGCAGAGGTAGAAGAATCTCGATGAACTAGAGGTCAGCCTGGTCTACGCAGTGAGCTCCAGATCAGCCAGGGCTACACAGAGAGACCCTGTGTCAAAGGCAAATCTACACTTTGAGTATTCTGGGTAAATAATGTTTTAATCCTGCTTGGACAGCATTTTGGGTTTTTTCCCCCCACATATTTATGCCAGTATTTCTAAAATAAATAAAGACCATGATGAAAATAATGGGGATGATCATGAGACTTGAAAGGTAAAAATCATTTTATGTTCACAAGCGTTCACATAACTGACATATTTAATCTGGAGTTCACTTGGTCAGTAAGTTCCATGGGGCTCTCAGACTAGATCACGTCCGTTATGAATGCATGGCACTTCACTGTTCTAGGATGGATACCATAAAATAATGCAGCAATATTAGACCTGGGAAACAAGGGTGAAATTAATTGCTTGGCATTTTCAGTGTTCTATGTGAAAATACAAACACATTCAAATAGAAAACACATTCAAAGTGTTCTGTGTCAAAATACGAGCTCCCACCCAGAAGCCCCATTCCCTGAAACGTTTGACGTAAAACAAAGTGCTAGGTAAAGAGATCAAGACTGCTTGTTCTGATCGGGAAACTCACTACCAATCTGTTTTGGCAGATGTACACATTAACTTTAAAGTTTTCGCTCTCCTGGGGGTGTTTCTTTCTTTCTTTTTTTTTTTCTTTTTTTTGTTTTTTTGTTTTTTTGGTTTTTAGAGACAGGGTTTCTCTGTGTAGCTTTGCGCCTTTCCTGGAACTCACTTGGTAGTCCAGGCTGGCCTCGAACTCACAGAGATCTGCCTGGCTCTGCCTCCCGAGTGCTGGGATTAGAGGCATGCGCCACCACCGCCCGGCCGGGTGTTTCTTTCTTAAGCCGCCCAGCTACTCAGTCGTGGCAGAAAATTGTCTCCTGATTATAGATATACTTGCAGTACAGACGGTTAGTAAATACAACCGTAAGCTGGCTGTCAAGAAGCAA